CTAGACTTTTATGTTAAAAAAGCTTGCAACGTCGCGTCGTGTTGATAGCGAAAAGCAAGAGGAGACCGCTAAAGATTTTAAGATAAGTAAGTTTATTTGTCAAACACGAGTTTTATTTTTTAGTTATACAATTATTATTCGCATTGGCGAATTCATTTGTTTATCTGTACACATATCATGAACCCCTATGATGTATTAAAAAACCGCAAATGACGACCGTTCGTTAGAACAAATTTCTTATCTGTGAAAATGTTATTATTGCTTCATTAAAACATCGAATTCGATGTTGTTATTACGTTCAAATTTCGAACATCTCTGAAAAACAAAACAATTTGATTCGACCTCAATTCTAATATCAGTCGAGATGAAGTTTTGTTCAAATTGAAATGTCAATAGCAAACAACCGTTACTTTATATCGAACGATATGACAGTTGGGGTCGATTCCCGATTAAAAATAAAAACTACGGTTGTGTGACATGCGTGAGAAAAGTTTTTATTTGCCGCCATTTCGCCAGTCGTAACATGCGCTTCTTGAACACATCACAGAGAGCTTATAATATGTGTGTAGATAAAGCAGTGTATGTAACTGTACATAACCAAGCATTAAAACACTCGTGTGAAACCCACACTCATATTTTAATTCCTTTCATTATGTAATAGTCGCATAAACTACTATTAGGAACCATAGACAGCGGAACTTGAAACATAAGCACGTTGTTAACGCTTGCTTTAAAAACCAAACTTTTTAGCTGCTTTTCGTTTAAACGCCCACCTCTACACATCGACTCATCCAAAGAACAGAGTCCGATGTGATTACATAGCATAAATAGTATAATATACATTGACTTACAAATAAATGGACGACGGGTCTAATACAAAAACCACGAAAAAAATGTCCCAAGTCAACCTATTTAAACGTAGTGACATATAAAGGAATATGAAAAAGCTAAAACGTTGAATTTAAATTGTAATGTCATCGCAGTACTGCCTAATTTTGCTTGCTTCGCTGTCAATCGAACAAACGAAGACTAAAGCGTGAATGACGCTCTGTATACGATTTTAACGCCCTACAAGTTCAGACACTTTTTAGCGCGGACCCGACGTCCATATAATTGTAAGTTAATGATAATATATAATATAATCATTCAAAATAAGGCTAATCGATAGGTGTTTTCAGAATTTTTATATCTTACTTCGTTTCGGAAATATAAAATTGAACACTGGCCAATCTGATACCTTCTGTAGATATACAGAGAAGAACAACGAACTAAATGTACAATATCCTGACAGTAAGCAGTCTTGTACATAGGTCTTTGTTCTACGGATGAGTCGACATGAGTAATGCGGTGTCGCTTTTAGGGTCGTAATCTAGAACTCTACTCAATGCTCAAGTCAGGATTTGAGTATGATTTAAAGCACTCGAAATCATACTCAAGTCTCTGCCATTAGGGTAGTATTTCCAATGCTTGTGTTTCCAGTGCAATCCTGACTTGAGCATTGAGTAGAGTTCTAGAATACGACCCTTAATTACGCACCACAGCACCCCCTCCCCGCTTCGTCTTGTGGCCCTTTGTCCGATGAGCCGTTTCAACGCACTAGGTGGCATGTAATTCTAATTTATATGTAATAGAAAGCAGCGTCACCGTTCAGGTATCGCAAAGCCGTAAGGTAAACACGGTTTGCAACTTATTTTATTTTAAAGTTTCACTTCCAATGTGCACAAGGTTACATTTCCAATACTATGTCCAAAATTTAAGAACTCTGAACATACCAAGTTTTTTATTCAGTAAGTAATTATGGGCTATGTCTTACTATATCCCTGTAAAAAATACTATGACAAAGACTTAATTAATAACGGCTTACAAACTTCAGAAATAAGTCTATTCATAATATTAAAATTCTTTATCGCGACGGAGGGCCTCAAAGGTCTTTTTTGCATATTTTTGTCAACACGTCAAAAACATAAAATTTAATTTTAAAGAAATTTAAAATATGCAAATTAAATTTAACGACTGATATAGACTGATAATTTTAAACGAATTTGATATAAAAAATATATACCACCAACAATACCTACTAACTTCTCTTCTCCCTTTCTCTTCATTCATTTCGTACATTGTACTATGATTTATTATACGTATGTATTTATCAAGCTATTCTTTAATTACACCCCCGTTGGTGTAGAACTCCTTGTGAAAGAGTTCATCCTGGCAAGTACTGCCACCTTGCCTATTTCTACCGCTAAGCGGTGAAGCGAGCATTACTGCGTTCCGGTTTTGAAGGATAAGGGTGTTGGTGAAAGTACAGGCACATAGGACTTATCAACGTAAGTCTCAGGGTGATAGGCGCAGCGGCATCAATATCGATTTTCTTCTTTTTTATAATATCAACTGACGAATAAGTCATGCACCTGATGATAAGCTACACGCCTGTCCATAACAGTTGCAGTGCCACTCAGAGCTTTACATCGTAAGGATCTGAGGGGCACTGCCACTGCGCCCCCGTCACTCTGAGATAAGTCTCCTGTACCTGTAATGTCACCAGAATCCTTGCCCTTTAAAACCAGAACGCAGTAGGTAACGCTAGTGCTTGGTGGCAGGTAGGTAAGGTATTTCCCTAGACGAACTCTTTCACGAGGAACTCTAAGGCCGCCTGTTGTCGCCGCTACACGAATATTTGATATTTTTGTTATATTACATCTTTAAATTTGTGTTATGGTACAATAAAGTATTTACACACACACATTAGCTTGTGATAATGTATTTACATTACAGTTCTGTATCGTCGTTGTAATAGCTAATGCGCAATAAAGTACATTGCATCAATTATTTCAACCTCGTACGTAACGTAGTCGTAATATAGAAAATCACCTAAGACGATTCGCCGTAGGACAAGCGGGATTAACTGTTTTGGTACATCAAATGGTTTGTGTATTTACTGTTAAATAAACATCTTACATAACATTCTCTACTGGGATTCAACTACCATTGCAACTGGACTTTAGCAAAATAACACATAATAATACACACTCATAGCCCCGCACTAGGGAAACCCTGTATCGCAGGTGTCATGAACATACATATAGACAGCCACAAATTACACCCAAACTCACGAGATAAATAGATGTAGGTCTTACAAATATTTCTCCCGGCCCGGGAATCGAACCCGAGACCTCTGCGTGGCAGTCCAGCGTGGTAACCGTTCGGCCACGGAGGCAGTTTATTATTATAATTGCAATAAAACGAGTGGTTTATAAAAAAAATTGCAGAATTGGGGCCCAAGGCAACTTAAGTACTTACTCGCTATATAACTTTGGGCACGGGATGGGACAATGCTCAGTGCCTCTGTAGCCCTCAGGTGTTGGTCCTGTACCGTTATATTCTATAAATTTGACGAACTCCTCTTTTGTTGGCGGTTTCACCGCTTCTTTGTTAACCCAGTTGCCGGCCGCCCAATAAGGTTCATAACCGTAGTGAGGACGGTAACTGGGGCCCCAAGTGGGTCCAAGCCTCCCGCGTTCACTAAAACACAAAACTTTGACTTAAATTTTTCATTTAAGCGTAATAGTTTTTAAACCATTTTCAAGTGTGTACCGCAACTCCCCTATAGATATATTTAGTAGCAGTAGAGCTCTTGTAATAGAGTTCGTCCAGGGAAGTACGACCATCTACCTACTTCTGCCGCCAAGCAGCAATGTTAGCATTCCGGTTTTGAAGGGTAAGGGTGCTTGCAGGTGAAATCACAGGCACATGGAGCTTGTCAACTTATGTCTCAAGGTGATGGGCGCAATGGTAGTGCCCCTCAGATCTTTGTGATTGCTCTGAGTGGCACTGCAACTGCTATGGACAGACGTGTACCTTACCATCAGGCGCACGTATTTTCCGTCCCGTCACTTGATATTATAAAAAAAATTGCATTTCTGAGTTTGAACTATGAACCACATTTATATGGCGAACGGCTATGGAGTAGATTGTCTGCCTGCAGACTTAATCCCTGAATGCTATAACTTGATTGATAACTTGAGCCTTTTCAAGGCGAGAGTGTAAAGGCATTATTTAGGTGCGCATGTATATACATATTTTCCATCTAGTAAGATGGAGATCAATTGCGCACTTTTTTTTCTCCTTCGATATACCATTATGTAATTTTAAAAAGAACACTCAGAAAAAATTCTTTCTGTCCGGCCGTATTCGAAGCGACGTCATCTAGCATACCGTGCCAGTTGCTATCGCTATACCAACTAAGCCACGGAAAGACTTTTTTACGACTTTTTAGTCGTAGCCATCTATGAGAAATCTATGAGAGTTTTATCACCCAGTTAGATAACTTTACAGCTACCGGCCCTGGTGAGAGATGAGATCGATTGATCGAAAAAAGTCGTTGAAAAACCAAATACAAAGACTCGACAACAAGCACATAGAAAAATTCGTGAGGTCCGCTGATTCGTTCCGTGGCATAGTTGGTATAAGCGTTTGGCACGGTATGCTAGAAGACGTCGCGTCGGTTCGAATCCGGCCGGATCGAAGGAATTTTTTCTGAGTGTTCGATCTTTGTATTAATCATTATAACAAACTAGTAGAGTAATTTCACATAATAAAATATTTGAATATCAATTTTATAAAAATAAAATAATCTCAGTACAGTGTACTAAAAAAACCGACCTCAAAAGTACGTGGAATTATGTCTATTTGCTAGGTTTTATTGAAATATCCTCTAGTTCGCCACTATACAGGACTTGACACTGGAGATAATAAAAATCGGTTCTCACTACTCAAAGTATATTGTATAGCAAAGTATACGCCTTGAATTGGAGAAATAGCAAAATCAACCATTAAAATAATTGCTCCTTAAGTAAAATTTAGGCGCTATTTATAAAAATGAATCTTCATGCGTGAACAGCCACCCTTAGAGGTGGATAATTTTCTTCAAAATGAAATGGGACCACTATGGAAGTATCATTTCCAACAAAAAAGAATCATGAAAATCGGTTCACAAATACCGGAGTTATCGCGTAACATACTTACAAAAAAACATACAGTCGAATTGAGAATCTCCTCTTTTTTGAAGTCGGTTAAAAAGAATTTAGTCTTAAAAGCTACCCGGATAAGTTTACGATGTAGATCGTGGTAACGTCTACTTCGTGAATGAAAGGTGTCAGTGCCAACCTCACCCCGAGTACAATTGTACTCGTTTCGTCTGAACCATTTCTGCCCTACATCATTCATAAATAACGCATTTGTATTTCGGTGACTTTCGAGACATTGGCAACGAGCGAAGCGAGCTTTTGCTGCCGAGCGAAACACACCTTTTCACCTCACTATAGCGAGGGAAATGGTAGATGAAAGAAAAACAGTTGAACTATAAAACATCAGTTTTTTAATTAAAAGAAAAAGTTTATCTTTGTATTCGTTCTGAATGTACAACCTCATCAATTTTTATTCTTACTTGTACTTTTATTTTGCGCGATTAAGTGATTATTGAAATTATTTTAGTTCTTCGATGAATTAAAATAATTTAATAAACACAGTTATCATTATCAATTTAATATCTTCAATAATAAGAATAAAATACACCAACGGATTTATATTACATAAATAACTTATGTACGACAAGTCACGCGATTTGTTGAACGTGTCATCATCTTTTTTTTCCTCGAAACAAAAAATCATAAACCTTTTCCACGAAATTTCTAATGAGAAAGAAAGCCTTTCCGAGCTAGTGAGGTAAAAAGTTCTTTTTTTGCTTTAAAAAAAAATCAGTTACCCTGTCTTCGTTCAACAATAAAACAAAAACTACATAAGTTATAACAAAACCGAATAGAGGGGGTCGTAGATCTCGTTTCGCTGATCCCAGATATGTTTATAACCCAATTTCGTCAAAATTAACGATTACTTTAGTTATGACATGGAGTAATAAACGCAAGAGGACTGCAAATCTAGATACAAGACAGCCTGGTCGGGTATTTAGTACCTATTGTGTACACCAGATGTCGCAACGCGTACCAAATAGCTATTTTTGTAACTAATTTGATTTACATTGACAAGCTGCAACTTATTAAAGCTACTCTAATTTTTAGTGATAACAAATAAATCAATTAGATGGTGCTTATTGCATAGTCGCAGAATGTCCACTTCGCAAAATGTCAACCTTCCGCAAAAAGTCCATTTCTCAGAATGTACCTTTCGCAAAATTAATTCATTTTAATTTTTATTAATTTAAATTTTTCTCACATTTGTCTGATACTAAAAGGAGTGTATGTGCAATTGGTTATTGGTTACCTATCAGTAGTCCGAAATGACATTTTCCAGAAATAACGTTTGGTCGAATTTTCATAACCTCGAAAGTAATTTTGAGAGGAAAATGTTTTTTCTTTTAAACCTCACTTAACCTAACTTAATCGAACCTAATCGTGTCTTTGCGATAAACATTCAACATATCCTGAAAGAACAACTGTTTCGTTATAATTTGGTTTTCGGTGTAATGAAAATTCGAACAAACGTTATTTTGGACAGAAAATTTTCGACTTTGTGGTAGGTTACATTTTGCGAAAGGTACATACTGAGAAATTTTACTTTTTGCGTGGGGTAGACATTTTGCGAAGTAGGCGTTCTGCGACCGAGGGTTTTCCGTGCCGGCTATTCTTTTATTTTGTTTAGGAGTAGCGCCATCTATCCACGTTAATTTATAAATTAGTTTGTGATTCACGATGTCTTCTATTGACACACATATCTGTCAAAGCTCAGAAAATAATTGTAATTGATGATCAACATATGAATAATATTACAAGGGAAAAAAAACTTTAGTTATATTTCGTATTAAAGAGGAATCAATTTATATCCACGGCTATTTATAATAATATAATCTACTTCCAAGATTATTGATCAGGGTCATCTAAATATAAGACGGAATCTTGACCTTTATCGGAAGGAGATTAGCGGGCCTGTTATTAGGCCACGGTTATGTTATCATCATTGACTTACAAATAAATGGACGACGGGTCTAATACAAAAACCACGAAAAAAATGTCCCAAGTCAACCTACTCGAAATTTAAATTGTAATGTCATCGCAGTATCGCGCTGTCAGTAGAACAAATGAAGACTAAAGCGGAGTTTGGCGCTCTGTATACGATTTTAGCGCCTTACAAGTGCGGACACTTTTTAGCGCGGACCCGACGTCCATATAATTGTAAGTCAATGGTTATCATGAACAGATTTATTCCCGATACATTTTAAAAGGAACACCTATGAAGAATTCTATTGCCATTGCAATGTAATAATGGCATTTAATGGCAACGAGACTAACCCAAGCATGGTTTAACATAGTCTTTTTATTCCATCCTATAAGTGTTTAACGGTGCTTTACAATATTTATGTACACTTTTTTCTTAAAACAATAAAATTAAATTAAAAATTCAGTAATTCACTCTCGCCTTGAAAAAGCTCAACTGTGTTCAGAGTATATTTTTCTTGCACAATAATTGAAGTCAAGTTTTACCTTGCCACCGTTTCCATTTTAACTTATTTAATTATTTTTTTTAATTTTAATGAGCTTTTGACGCCATTTTACAAAACTAAAGCGGCCCGTCCATTAGCGAATACGTAAGCCGTGTTAGCCAGCATGTCGTCCGTCTGTTTAGTTTATTTCAATGTTGAACGTCACAAACCCCTGACCTCTCAAAATCGGTTTTCCGCAATGGTTATGGGACGATTCTCATAGCCGTTTTTACTAAAATACGGTTTACATCACATCTATACGAGGGTATAATGGGCATAGAACACGAAAGAGAAAAATCTGGTTTGTTGAGCCTCTCTGACGCACGAATATAATAGTCATAAATACGCCAAACGATTGCGTCGACGCAATGTTTAACGCGATCGTGTTACGACGTACTATAAGTAACAATAACATTACGATTGATTCCGTTATAGTTATTTTAAGCCCGTTGTCCGTTCGTCCTGGGAAGTACTGCCACTTTACTTATTCCTGCCGTCAAGCAGGAATGTGAGCGTAACTGCGTTCCGGTTTGGAAGGGTAAAGGTGCTGGTCAAATTACAGGCACATGGTACTTGTCAACTTATGCCTCAGGGTGACGGGCGCAGTGGCAGTGACTCTCAGATCTAAAGCTCTGAATGGCACTGCAACTGTTCTGGACAGGCGTGTAGCTTACCATCAGGCGTACGACATGTTCGTCCCGTCTAATTATAAAAAAGATTTGTCCTAATGATTTGTCCTACCGCCACTTCAAGTAGAGGCCATGGGTTCTAATCATGACTCGCATCTCTGAGGTTCTCGGAACTTGTGTGCAAAATTTAACTAAGAGAAGACCCGTGTCCAGCAGTGGGACGTATAAATGGGTTGATAATGATGATGATAGTGTTTTCCAAATCATACTTTTCATTTCGTCTAATTGCTCCTACAGTTGATTCTCCACTACCTTGCCTCCTGTCTACCGTCCTGTTCACCACCTTTCTTGTATTGTTTACCGGTAGTGCCTGAGACAACGTAAATGCTTCGAACTTTGGCATACATTGAACTGGAAAACAAAGGACATAATAATCACCAATAATCTATGCAAACCTATACATACATTCTCCTAATGAGGGTATAAAACCACAAATCACAGGCTCAATGTGGACTTTTTCATGTTTTTCTTCATATTAACAAGTAGTTTACAGAGATCATGAGTTAAACGATTAGTGGTAAACGTCCGCGTACTACTCGATATAGGTAATATATCATACAGGGTGTAATCGTTAAGTGTGTCCAGGCGATTACTACCTAAATATAATAAGTATCAACAACCTTTCACCTGATATCAAAAGCACGAGTACAATGACATCGATAACTTTTTTTAAATGAAACTAGAAATAATTATAACGTTAAGCGCCCCCGTATACTGCCGCCATTACTTGAAAGGTCGCATGTGTGACAAGGTGCACGAAATAAAAGCGAAATTATTCGGAATATTCATCATAGTATAATAATCTGTCAAAAGATTGAGAATTTGCACATAAGGATTACACTTTGAACATTTAATAAATTATTTGCATTTTATCTTTGGTAGATTCAAGTTTGTTTCTCTTTTAATAAATCGTTTTAATAAATATAATTAACGTTGTTATTTTAATTTAAGATATGTTCATTATTAAGAGATTAATGTATCCATGAAGCAAATTCTATCCACAATATTTAAAGTATTTTCCCTCCGTGTCACATAGGACACCCTATATAAATCCATATCAGTCAGTTTATAATTATTTTTTTTCGTAATTATTTATTTGTGCTAATTTCTACAACGCATGACAAGAAAAAAAGTAAATTGTGTCCAGCAGCAGGGGGCCTTAGTCTCGATGCACAAAATCTGTAGTTACGGCCGTTTTCCCACTATGGATAACTTACAGACTTGCTCTTATCGGGGTTAGAACTAAGAATGTATGACAATACGATTTGTATTTTCGAACCCGTCTATTCGTTGACCGATATCAAGAGTCAATGATATTATAGTTATAGAGTACTCCCGTAGATCATCCGTATAATGAGAAAACAGCCGTACCTATGGATTTCGTACTTCGAGTGTAGAGCCCCAGGACCGTACAAGCTAGTTAAACAAATTACTTACGCGAAAATATAAGCCCCTGAAATACTGTTATGCAATAGTTCATTTTTAAATTGTCTTTAAATTATCACAATAACATTCCGTACTCAATGTGCAAAGTGATTTTTAAGCATTAGAATATTGAATTTTAATTTAAAACTTTGGTTCTCAACACACTTCTCTCGCACATCAATTTATAAAACCAGACGTGACATCGATGTAGGTATATGCTTAGAATAATAACGCATAGAAACCTAGTCCGCACACGCTAAGTGAGACAAATTGAAGCGCGCCCAATGGGCCTACACGAGCGGGCGGGCCTTCAGTGCTCAAGGTCAACTTGCACCGCGAACAGCTCCAGAATTTTAATTAGAAATGACGAAATGTGCGGTAAATGAGTGTAATAATACGTCAGACAAACATAAAATAGATACTAACATCACATTCCACAAGGAAGTAATGCGTTTCAACTTGTATTTTTATATAAATATTCACTAAAACCGAAAATTAACCTACTACTAAAACTAGCCAAATTCATGTAAATTTGATTTTTGCCTCACTTGTGACAGTTCGTTTGATATGAAACTATCATTCTATGCGTTATTATTCTAAAGGTATATGTAAGTACAGCATACCAGTAGCATTTGACGTTAACATTATGTTGTAATAAAATTTTTCGTCCTTCGGGACTGACTAAGGCGTCTAATTGGCCGTAGTGTCGGATCTTAGATTTGAATTTTTCTTCAGTAATTTAATTTTCTGACATATTTTCGCGGGAAATCGGTACGTTCTTACGGGGGCCATTTTGACTCCTCATTCTATTAGCGGTTAATTAATTTTTTTTTTTAATATTTGTTTTACGGCATCGGAATAAATTCACCAAACCTAATTTTCAATGAGTTCTTAATTTGTTTTAATGCTCGTGGTGATTTCTTGTTTGCCATTGGTCTTTCGTCCACTACATGGTTGGCCAACGGTCGAAAACGCTACCCTTTATCTCTATATCCCTAACGCTAGATTAACCTATTGGTCTATCGTAACAGTTCAAAGGATTGTAGTAAAAAGTGTACCAAAAATTATATAAAACATATTTTGAATGAAGCACAGACTTATTTTTTCTAACAAATCTTTTTATTTTTTATATTCACTAATTAAGCAAATATTGGAGACTCTCTAACTGGTAGCTGAATTAGTGAAACCAATTATTATTTATGTTATTGTAAAGCAACCAAACTCTCCCGACAAAATATTACGAAGATCGAAAGCTCTATCTCTATTTGTATATTACATCCTTTAATTGAACAAAAAATTTAAAAAAGGTTTTATTCTATAGAGCCAACAAGCTGTTGTACAACATAATATATCAAACCTAATTTTGTCAGATATGCGCCGGAATATGTATTAAAAAATAACATGAAAAAGAAAACACACAAAATGTGTCGTTCAAAGCTCTGCTTGCTTTGTTTGCTTGCTGCATTAAGTCAGAAAATTAAGTTCGAAAATACATTTCAGTCAACAGACAGAACAGCAAGTTTTCCATCGAAATTCACCGAGTAATAACGCATATCTTTTCCAATATATCAATGGAGCTGTAACACTTCAAAAACAGACGAAGAACTTTTAAATCTATCTACTAAGAACTTTATAAACAGATTAAACAAAAACTGTCATACAGTCAAAATGCTCACTAACATCAATGTTCATAATTGCGAGATCTATGGTGTTACTTTTCTTCCATTGTAAAGGCAATCGAATAGGCACCAGATACTTAAAAACAAAGAAAAGGCCGTAACATAATAGTAATAACATTTTTCTTCTTTCGGGATCGGCTAAGATGTATAGATCATTCTGCCAAATCATACATTTTAATTTTTTTTTTTTAATTGTGTTTATTTTTATATTACTACAATCAAAATGCCTGAAAGAAACAATAACCTTGTCTTCCAGTAATTATCCCAACATAAAATACCGAATTTAATAAATAACTGCAATATTCATTTTAAAAAATACCATGATGTTCATGTGATATAAATTAATAGACTGTCTGTGAAACCCAAGGGCTACCTTGCCCAACGTATTAGAATAGTTATACAAAGGGGGAACGCTGCTGGCATCTTGGGCACCTTGGCGCGGGAACCTAATTTTAATCATTTAATTTGAACCTAGTTTTAGTTGCAATTATCCTAACACGTCAAATGTAACTTTTAACATTAATGACGTATTGCAAAAACAACAAAACTCTCTTATATTAGCTATTGTCTAACTGGTCGCTGACCTACTTGTACTTAGTTAATTACTTGGGTTAAATAGTGGTTAGAAAGCACTCACAGGCCAACCTCGCTACTGATCCGTTACTACTTGTCCTGTACTGTATATACCTGCTTAAAATTATCATTTAATGCTTAAAAATCACTTCACAGTCTATGGTTTCGTGTTATAACGACGATTTGCTTTACTTCTAAAATCGTATCCTTGGTATAATAGAACCATATGACATCATACGTCCTATGTTTTTATCACATGAAACTCACAAAAATAAAACGAATTACTTGAAACAAATTAATTAAAAGTTAACGATTTCGTAGAATGTGATAGAGTTCGTAGAGATAAGGCCTTATTACACAAAGGCTGCGAAATCTATACAATTGAAAATATTTGTATTTAGAAATGACTTAAAAAATTTAACGCTAAATTTCAATTCAATGCCAAAGTAAGTTAATTAAAATATCGTCAAGGTTAAACAGATTTTATGGTTTTTATGGTTATTAATTTCGTTAGTTTGAATTTTTGATTAGGTTCAACGTACTGTTGGAATTTTATTCAAAGATAAACATGGAGGAGGTAGAGTACTATTACAATAATGTCACTACTTATTTTGTACAAAAGTAATTGCGCATTTGACCTCCATCTCATCTGATGGAAAATGACGATGAGGACGACGTTGTAGCATGCACACCTAAATAACGCCTATTCATTCTCGCCTTGAAAAGATCCAAGTTACAGCGACTGGAGCTCTAAGGTTAATATTATGGATATCTTCTTTCTTAATGAAATTATGTATATTTTTACGGGCATACAAATATTTGAGTAAATGTACTGTGATGCCAAAGTCGTGATTTAATTTTTCTATGCGAGAAACCCGAGAACCTAAACGGTACACAGAACGAATCGCCCGTTTTATATGGTTTGTATTTTTCCATACTTATATGGTTGTATATAAGATCCATGTGCCTGTAGTATCACTTCGGGACATGGCTATGGCGGCAATAATTCTCTGGACGAACTCTTTCTCAAGAAGCTCTAAAAGCTACCAAATAGTTATTTAACTTACGTAGATTTAGTCTAGAAAAATCTCATGTGCAATTCTGTGGCCTTAACAAATGAGGAATATATGTATGTAGACCGACAAAGTTAGTACATACGAAAGTGAGTTTCCAATCAATGTACATCAAATATGCATTTTCTTCAAGAAAAAATGTTACCCGCGCCGCCGACATAATTCTTAACAAACTCGTCCCGGTATAATTTCATTTCATATTTCTGGCGCGCGTTCTTGTCGTAGGCGAAAAAAAACTTTAAAGGACATAATATTAATTTAATCTTTATTACTAACAACCATAACTAAGTAAAATTATAATAATAGTTTTACTTAGAATTATTTATTTATTTTCTCGTTATATGTAATGGCCATTTTAGGTTTTTTTAATATTATTCCCTTTTTTACATATAAGTTGTGATAGTGTGTGGTCGCAGCCCACCCTGTACTCGCATTGCATACGTTGCCGTGGTCTAAACTCATGTATAACGCATAACGCATGTATAAACAAATCACAAGTTACGTCATCGGAAACTGTCGTTGGTACTTCCGCCCACCTTCCGACGGACATGTTAGTCTAGGTAACGGACGAGCGCTCGAATGCTCGATTACCAAACTTGCACACACGCCCGCTTCACCGAATATTGTAACGGTAAGCTATGTGACAGTGAATATTACAGTTTTGTTCAACGACATTGGCTCTTATTTACTCGGCACCTTCCAGAAGAATAAAAAATAAGAATAAGGAAGAGTAATAATTAGAATAAAGATTAACATTTTTTAGTAAAGACAATTATTTTATCCCTATGTAGAGGAATCTTTGTCTACCGATGGAGAGTTCCTCTTTCTATCATCTCATGCTCTAAGTAGCACCATAATCAAAAGAAATTTCTCGTCACACGTTTTTTTCTGTTTTTCCCTTCGCGGTAATCCTTTTCTTATGGTCCATAACAGTGACAGTGCCACTCAGAGCATTAAATCACAAAGATATAACGGACTCACCCTCTGCGTCTGGAGACATAAGTTGACTAGTTCCATGTGCCCGTAATTTCACCAGCACCCTTATCCTTCAAAACTGGAACGCAGTAACGCTCATATTACAACTTAACAGCAGAAATAGGTAAGGTGGCAGTAGTTCCCTGGGTGAACTCTCTTTCGCAAGGTGCTCAGCTACTAAAGCCTGCAGGAAGTAAATAACAAAGCCAAGTATACTAAAGTAACAGGAACCATGGATTACTTACAATTACCTGTATGCTTAGTAACTTTGTCCTTGAAAAACTATTAATTTATTAAAAAAAAACAATTAAGAAACTGAAAAATGCATGAGCCAGATCCACATTTGTATAGCAAAGAAAATAACAAAAATTGCAAGAGAAAGTCCAAATTATGCCATTTGTAAAACCTGCATTTAAGCGCTTAAGTTTTACCGCATTGTTATACGAGTACCTAATTCTCAAAAGTGTGCTGTGCTTCAGTTATACTTTTAACTTTGGCCTTTCTTATCATAAGTGGCTACAGAGAAATTTCATCTTAAATGCAAAGTTCTCTTTGCACTTTGAATAGCACGTCTCTAAGTGCTTGTCAGTATCCAAACATATTTACTCGTTGATTTACGTTGACATACATACACAAAACATGTGAGGACATGCCAACCATCTTTAGCAATCACGTGCCTCCACAATAGCCCGCTTTCAAGAGCTATTGAGTATTTAAATAACATCTACTATCTTACCTTTCGTAACGTTACTCCGGTGATGATGTTCAACCATTTAGATAGCCTTAAGAGAACAATGGTCCTAGTTTGAATTGCAACGCAATATAGAAACTTCAGGTTGTGGTTCATCAGTTTCCCGGCAAATTATAATAATAATAATAATAACGCACACACTCAACATAGCCCCGCACTAGGGAAACCCTGTGTCGCGGGTTCCATGAACACACACATAGACAACCACAAATTACACCCAAACTCACGAGAGAAATAAATGTAGGCCATACAAA